AAAGTTTTACTATATATTTATTTTATTTTAAAATTATATTTAAAAATTTTATAAGTTTATTTCTGTGCATTATTGCACGGGTTTACAACTAGTGATATTATAAATAATATATAATATTTTATAGCATGCCTTTTGGCATGCCATGGTACAAATTTTAACAAAAGGCATACCTATGGCATGCCAAATTTTTTTTGGTGTGCCAGACACCCTAGCCATAGCCCAAATTGTTATCTAAATTACAAGTTACAACTAACCTGGTTATCAACTTGGTACCTATATTCGACTTGCTATAGTAGGATTCTTCTCCTTCTGGATTTTTTCTGCAATTAGATATGATCCGGATCTTAACAGATAGTACTTACTGCCTGTCATGACTACCTTTTCCTTCTTTCAGACTTCTTCTACCTAAGCCCGACAACATAATTAAGCTCTTATTCGTATATAAAAGTGAAAAAAATAAAGCTATGTTTATGAAAGACAAACATTTTAGAAAAAAAACACCTCACAGTAGGAAAAAAAAACTTTTCAACAAATTCTAAAATAATCTAATATAAATGAACAAAGATAAAAAAGTGGAAAAAAAGAAAGATAGCCATGATATACTATTATAGCCCATGCTAGACATAAGAGTAAAAATTATATAATAATTGCAACTAATTACTATATCTCGATTGTAAACCTTCGGTTTAGCTTTGGAACTTGTTTCGGGCACTGACTCAACTCAGATATCTCTTAAACGGAGGTGAAGATCTCTTTTCTATACTGTAGCACCATATTTGCAAAACAACAAACCATGTAGTTGCCTTCTACTAAGTTCATCCCGATTTGGTAGGTGTAAACAATACCGATCTTTTGAAGGGGATATGCCAAAATACCCACTTTTTATCGAAAAATTTTAGTAGAACCAACACAAAGTGACAAAGAGAAAAAGATCTCTTGATACTACTTAAAGAAAAGTGAGTTACTAAAAACAACAGAAATAGTTTTCCTTTCAGCCAGAACTATGCTACTCGCATTTTGTCAGTAAGTAATAAACTCTGAACTTGTTAGCAGATAGTGTATAAGAACTATCTCTAAATGACAAGCGCCGGGTTTGCAGTAAGTGATAAACTCTGAGTCTGTTGGCAGGTAGTATATGAAAACTACCTCTAAACAACAGATGCTATCTTATAGTCACTCTTATGTACTCTGGCTAGTTGGTTTCTACTATTTTTGTTAATGCAATATTTTGAATTAATTCAACCCAATTTAAAATAAATATAAATGCATCAAAACAAAAAACTATTTATAAACTAAAAGATAGCTACTAATGAGTAAAAAAAGCTAATCAATTTGAATTTATCAAATACTATTTGAAATATTTTGAGGTATTTCAAATTAAATCAAAATAAATTAAATAAAAAAATATGAATAATAGAAAATATATTTAAATACAATAATTATATAATTTATTAAATAATTTTGAATTATTTTGAGACAAACTAAATTTATAACCTTTATTTAAATAAACAAAATATAAATTTTATAACTTAAAATATATTTTATTAATAATTTGATTATTTATTTTATTTAAAATTTTAAAAATTACAGTATATAAAAAAAAGCTAAATTATAGAAAATCCTATATAAAGAAATATATAAAAAATAAAAAACAAAAAAATGCAATATTATTCAAATAAACCAAAAAAATAAAAACTTTTATTTATCATTATCTGTATTTTTCTTATCATCAACTATAACTTTCTTATCATCATTATTATTATTATTATCTAAGAGCAAAGAATCTTTATTATCTAGTTTATTTATATTTACTTTGAATATATCTACTTGGTTAGATGAGTCTTCATCCGAACTAACTCAAACTACTTCAGATTATAAAATAAAAAATAAAATTTAGCTAATTCAAAATATTGCAATTTAATTCAAATAAAGTTATGTTAGTTAAAGTTAAGAGAGCCGACAATTATCAGGTGATTTTCTAGAAGAGGGGGTCAAAAAAATTAAAATTTTATATATGAGACCTAATAATTTATATATTAAAAACTAGGGGAGAGTAAGCCTCTGATAAAAAAAAATTAGATGATAAATAACACTGCCCTAAAATTACTATACTTTGGCCTTTTATAAATTTAAATAAATTTAATTAAATTAAATAAAATTAAAAAATTATACTCTTTCAGAAGAATTCAAATTGTTTTTATATTTGAAAACTTTTTTCTAATTAATTTGAATATTTATATTAGTTGTAAAATAATTAAATATTATTTTTACTAATTTAACTTTATTTGAATCTTTTTTATTAAGGTTATTACTTTCTTCATCACAAGAATTGACTTTTGAATAATGGTCTGTAATGTTTTAATTTCTCCTATTTAATTTGAAATACAGTCTAACCTCTCTATAATCACATTCTCGAAATAGAGATTTGTGTGATTGTAAAGAAAATTTTACTAAAATGTGCTTATAAAGAAGTTTTTTCTATATGTTTATAATAGTTGGTTTTAAAATAAATATACTTATATAGAGAGTAACTATAGAGAGGTTTAACTGTAGTTCGAATTTAGTAAATTAATTTAAATAATTAACAAAAATAGAATTAAATACTTACTAAATATCTTGTAGCAGTAAAAAAAAACTCTTTCTGGTTCATCCCTAAAAATCAAATTTTAAAGTAAATAAAATACAATCAAACAAACAATGCTTAGTATTATAATAAATAAATAATTTATTAGGTCCTCTGAGACAAAGAACAAACCAATAAAGCACAGTACTATACCCTTTAAACAAAATTAAATACACAAGAAACTGCCTTTTTGCTACTCTTTAGACCTTTGAGCCTTTACTTATTTATAATAGTCACTCTACCCTAACTATAGATACCTGTACTCCAACTTTTAACCAGCTCTCTAATACTCCCAACCAAGTACCTAACAACCCCCTTCTGTAAAAAGAAATAGACAAAATGATCCCAATAATGCAGCTATGCAAATGGACTATTCTTTGACAATCTCTATTTCAACCATTCTTACAACACAATTTTAACAAAGTAGGCAAAACACTATATTCTCTGAGAACAACAAGCTGATCAGGGCCTCTGGGCCTATCTCAATTAGCATGGAAAAAACTGCAAAAATTTCCACAGTAATTACTACAACAAATACTGATCCCAATTTGGCACAACAATTTATCTTGGCAGCTAATCTACAACCTTCCAATCACCTAATGCTATTTAGATCTGAAAACACTTCTACAACCAAATTCAACCTACTCATAGCTGACAATTTAGCCCAACTATCTGACTCTACTACCAACTCCTATCAAGATCTACTTATAGATACTTATTTAAATGCTACAATTGAATCCTTACCAAAAAAATTCTATACCACAGCACTTATAGGCAACCAAAAATCCAAACCTAGTCAAAAAGTTTTAGACCATCAAGACCTATACTAGTGTACTTCAGTTCTTAAAAACCTCACAATACAATGTACTGATGAATTTGATAAACTTCAATAGCACAGCAATTACTTTATTATCATATTTGAAGATATTACTAAACTTGAAGAATTTTTCATTTATAAAATAACTTCTATTTCTATCTCCTACAACTTACCTCCTACAATTAATAAAAAATTCATTCACTTTGATACTGCCTTCTTCAAATCTTTTATCTATAATGCCTTCACCCAACTACAATACCAGAAAAAATTCAAAACTCTTCTACAAATTGCAACTAAAAGATACAAATGTTGTTATAACATCTAATATATTAATAAAACTAACCAGGACTAACTTTTTCAAAGACTTAAAGCAAAACTAGCACTTGACTTTTATATAACCTGAACTTTATGCTAAAAAGTTCTTATGATATTACAAGATATATCACCTACCTAACAAATTTTGCAAAAATCACCACAGCCTTTGACTTTAAAAAAATCAGAGCTACTCTAATTTCTGCTTATGCCTCTTTCCTCAAACCTTTACCTTATTCTCCATGTGGTATTACTGACAATATTCTTCAAATCTTATCATTTAAACTATCTATTGCAAACTATAGTGATACCAGAGCAGTTGTTCTTGCACTCTAGAAAATATATACTTTTAAAAAACTGTATAATAGCTACTTTGAAACCCAACTACTACCTTTTCCTAATCTTTCTTCCAAACTCAATCTGAAATTCAAGATTTATTCTCCATAACTAAACTATCAAAGCTCACATATCTAGCCTTATACTATTAGAAACTAACTAAATACTATTATAGGTAAAAAAATTCTACTAGTGTTCTCTACTTCAACACCTCCTAACTATTAGCTTCATAAGTCTATTATAGCTACATCATATTACCAAACCTATCTGGAACTGAAATTAGTCATCAAGCCAAATGATAATATATGGGTCTCTTCCCGAAATCACACTCTCATTCACTATATCTCTTCTTCTTGACTCTACTAACATCGCCAATAGTAATTATCAAATACTCACTACCTCACGGCATATACATCTCATAGTTAAACAACCTTGTTACAAAAAACAATACTGGAAGATCTACAACTATGACTATATAAATTTTAAACTCTGGGAGGATTTTTCCAGATTCATCTCAACTTATATTTTAGCCTCCACAGAAAATTACTAACACATATCAACTAAACAAAACCTTCAATAATTTAAACAATATTATCAAACAAGCAGCTAACAAATTTATCTTATATATTTACACTAGCCCTATACTTTTTACACTCACTCTTTTAAAGCTAGCTCTTTATATCGAGTACTCAAACATATTAACTATATCTTTAATATAATTAATTGATCTATCTTATTCCATACCCAACATATTACTACTTTTATCAATAGCCTCCTCAATAAAATTAATGCACTTACTCAAGCTTCTAGCCAAAACCTCAAACCCAATAACTTGAAATACAGCTTCTATATCCATACAAAAATATATTTTAAATAGCTTCACTCAACTTTATACACTGCAAAGAATATCAAAAACAACAACTAAAAAAAAGACAAAATCTAATACTTTACAAATAAATGCTATACCAACTTTCAAAGCAACACAACCAAGATAATTGATAGTATTCTACACTAGCACTAAACCCTGTTACCTTCTACAATATTACCACACTAACTACACTAATCACCAATCTCCAAGAAATTAAACAAGAAATATTATAACACTTTCATTACTAGACCAAACTTAACCTATTTGATTCTAGCCATTAGACAGAATAGAAACAGTATTACAAAACACTACCTCAAGTTATCTTTACCATATACACACCACTATTAAAACCAATTAAAGCAGATGAAATTTAGGCAACAATAACTATAGCACCCAACAACAAAGCAACCAGCCTCTTGTTAATCCCAAATGAAATGTTTAAGAAATTTTCACACATAGTAATACTAACACTAGCTAGGATCTTTAATGCCTATATTGATTACAAACAACACCCTCATTATAGTACAAAGGCCTAGTTTGGCTTATATCAAAAAAAGGATACCAATTGGGGGATCTCTCTAAAACTCACTCTATAACACTTATTAAGTATATTCAAAAAATCTTTACTAAAATCTTCACCATCTGTATTAACTTTATTCTTATTTGCAATGATTTGCTTAATCCCGCAAACAACGTTGCACTTCCACTAACCTCCACACTACAACTTATTTAATATATTACTCATCTATATGAAGACACACCTATAAATAAAAAAGAACTTTGGATACTATTGCAAGATATATTCAAAGCTTACAATACTGTATACTAATGTTGTTAGCTGAGTTATTGACTAAGTTAGTCAACTAAGCTATTAAGAGACAAATTTAGGATATTGTTACTTAATTAGCTAAAGCTTCTTTTTTTCGATACTAAACAATAAGCAAAGCTACCTAATAAAAATCTTAAAAAAACAATAGTTAAACTTCAACCAATAATTTTAGTTTGTCAAATTAGTTGATTTAGTTAATTAGAAGTCAGCTAAGTTGACTAAGATGACTAGCTTCTAATCGGCTTACAACACTACTATATACATACTACTATTAAGCAAAGCCTTTCTTTGAATTGGTATGCCATTTCAAATCATAAATCTTATAGTTTATATTTTCTCTACAAGACAAAATCAAGTTATTACCTCATTAGTAAAATACTATCTTACAATGTTGAAGACAGTATTGATCAGAGTGAAACAATCTTTCCAATATTATAGCGTATTTACTATGACTCTCTTATTAGCCATATTTCCAAATCTACTCTAGACTACACCATCTTTACTATTGTAACAAACTTCAACCAAACTCATACTACTACTGCAAATATCATTGCTTATATAGATGACACCACATGAATTTCTTCAAACCAAATATCACTCCAACAAATACTTAGTATCACATCTTCCTTTTATCAAATAGTAAAAATAATTGTAAATCCTAGTAAATCTACCCTACTCTATAACAACACCAAGGATATTTCTTTTATTATTTTCCAGAACCAACTTATTCACAACTTATTACCAAAACAAACTTTCAAATTCCTTGACATATTTATTGACCATACTATTAACAATCAATATTCAATTTGAACAATTAAAAAACAATTCTGTACAGAACTAATCAAATTTAATTATGCAAAGATTACCAAAAAACAAGCTATCTACATCATCAATACAGTTTTGCTTTCTAGATTATACTACCATCTCTACCTAAATTTCTCCAACTATTAATGCCTCATAAGATACTACACTACTACTATAAAACACAAAGCATCTATCTCTAGTTGTACCCCTAATCTGCTCTTATTTCATTCTTATATCTATATAGTAATAAACGCTTACCAATTACAATAAGTACACTATATGGGGGCTTTGCCTTGAAAATCAAGTTATGGAATATATGATTTACTATATCCCATAACATGATTTTCAAGGCAAAGACCCCATATATCAATTCTAAAAAACATGCTCAATTTTTCAATTACCCTATTATTTTTCATTCAATTACAATAGCTACAAAACAACACTTTCTCTAATGTATCTATTCTAGCCCACCAACCCCAATTCACTTTTAAAGAATTCAAAACTTTCATCACACAACTCATTCTCAATATGTACTAACTTAATATTCAATTTATCTAACCATCTAACCCTAACCCACTTAATACACCCAATATATCTATTAACTCTATTCTACATAATGTAAAAAACAATACCCATATGAAGTATTAACTGAATAAATACAAGATATCAGCAATCGAACAATTCACAAACCATGATAATACTATAATGCTCAACTGGAAAGCTTCTGTCACAATATTCTAAAGATACCATATGGCTGTATTTCAAAATGGTTTAACACAATCAAAGACACTATCATCGAATTAGAATCCTCTACTTTCAATCTAATATATTTAAACCCTTTTACGTAAACCCCAGCGAACACTTCCTTATATTGGATAATAATATCTGATCATACTTTTGGTAAAATAATCTCTACCAAGAACAATTGTTTTAAGACACATCATTGGAACTTAGACCAAACAACTAATAGCTTAATCTCTTGTAACTGATATGCTTATCATGACTATACAACAAATAATATTCGGTATTTATTCTAGACTCCAAAAACCATCACCTACCAAATTCAAGTATCATTAAAACACATGTGGCATAGTAGTCTAGCCAACTTAAGCAACTCACCCTTAATAACCAAATACAATACCAATCCTACTTACTATATACCTCATAACCACCATTATTCCTTTAACATGGTCTAGGCACATAATGATCAAGCAGAATATATCTGGAACACTTATCTTTCCTTCTCTAATACCAAATCTATACAAGTATAATTAGCAGTAATATCTACAAGGAAAAAGCTATTGATACCTACTGCAAAGCTTATATTTAACACTATAATATATGATTAACTATACAAAATACTACTTGGTCCAACCCAGCAAAAATCACTATCACTACATTATATACACTGCTTACAATCATACCCTCCAGTTCACATATTAACCTCAAAACAAACTCTATATTTCTAATCAAAATACTATCTCTTCTACTAGACACTTTACTTATTATATCTGTAAAAATGACAACACTAGTTACTTAATTGCTACTAGAGCAGCTATCTATACTAAATTCATCTCAATAATTACTTGCTATACTAGCATTACCACTATATTACACTCCAATAACCACATTCTGCATACAGAAATTAATTCATCACTACTTATCTACAATACCTACCTTTTAAGATTCAACTACAATCTATCTTTAGACAAACAATCAAAAAACTCCACATTGCAACTAATATAGACTTATAGTATACTCTAAACAGAATTTAAAGATCTGTGAGAACCAACTTCAAAATTTGTTAAAACCCAACTTTTTAGTATTTAAAGTTCAACATTCAATCACAACAATACTATATAGA